TAACAAACGCTATGGGCTCGTCCCTACAAAATTGCTTATTTCAGGGGCCGTGCCTTAAGCGCCGTGCTTGCAAGGGATACGAGATTGCAGGAAACACCCCAATATCTATAACCAATGAATTCCCATTGCCAGTTCGCGCTGGAACTATTTTTAAGTGACATCACGAAGGGTAAGGGCTATATATAGATGGAAAAAAAGAAAGTAAATACATGGGCTAACCCATTACTGTTGGGGGTAAATGCGTAGCTAATTAAGAGATTGGCCAAGATCAAAAGAAGAATAAAACAATGCCAGGAGAAAGAATGGAAAATGAAGGCGTGATAAAATGGGGTATTTGTACAGGCTGACACCAAAAGTAGGGTGCATATGTTTGTGTGATCGCTATGCTGGCAAGGATGTAGCGGTCTACCATGAGAGGGTAGATGTTAAAAAAAAAAAAAAAGTAAAGCAGCTCAAAATAGTCCTCCAATGACAGTATACCACATCCAAGGAAAAAGATCGGTATGAAGCTCCTTCATGAAGATAAATAGGAGCTGCAAAGTAAATGGTCAGTACAAAATGATTTCTTTTATTAGTATGTCCAAATATGAAGCTTTTGTTTGAACTTTTGTTTGAACGCGCAAAACAGTCGCATGCTGGGCGCAAAAAGTAGCAAAAAGGCAAAAAAAAGCCAAGTTGCGAGCCTCATGTCGTTCTATAGTATATAGTTCAATGCTTCACTTGGAGTCCGGTATGACAGCGCTGGTGGTAGATGCCGTCCGCCTAGTCCATCCGGTGAAGAAACCGACAGGCGATGAGTTTTGGGACTTGGGCGGGGCGGTTGTGTCTGGGCTTGATTTAGATGCAGTGACGAGTATGCTGGGGCTGGAGTCACCGGCAGTGGAGGCGGGAGAAGTTGCATTCGTAGAGCGACTCATCAGTCGTTTGAGAGTGTCCAATTTGACCTTCATCTCTTCCAGCTCCTGTCGGGCGACCGCCTCTGAAGTCTTCGCGTTAACAAGCTCAATGAGCAGCCCTTCCTCATCGCCAACAAGGGACTTGGGAGCTCCCAGGCTGCTTGTTCGTTTTGAGAACGTTGGGGTTTTAGGGGAGCTGGCCTTTCCAAGTTTGAATTCCCGCAGGCCGTTTGCGGACCCATCATCCCCCGACCCGACCGATTCAGGACGATCAGTTTGCAGCTTTGAAAGGGGCGGTTTCTTTGCTCTAAGCTCTTGTACCGTTCGTTCAAGGCGCTGCTTTTCTTTATGTACGTCCTGAACCCTGCTTCGAGCCTCCTTGAGCTGCTCCTTTAGCTGGGCATTTTTTTGTTCGTGCTCGTCAATAGTTCGGCCCATGTCCTGACATCTAGTGGACTCGAGCTCGTATTTGCTCTTCCACATTTCAACATCATCCAGCAGCTGCTGTTTGGTTTGCAGCATCGACATGCGTCGTGGCTCCGTTGACGCAAACCTTTCTTCTGCTTTGAGGATGAGTTTGGGATCAGGTTGCTCAGCTGGAGTCTCTTTCATATGGGATAGCAACTGGGCAGCTACCATCTGATCCTCCTCACGTTCCTCTCGTTCTTGTTGCAATCGCTTAGCCAGAGCGGCCTGCTCTCGCTGCATATCGGAAAGAGCAAGAAGAAGGTCCTCTATTTGGGAGTGCAAATCCTTGTCGCTGGTTTGTAAACGATGTGGTTTTGGCTTCGGCGTCGCATTGTCAATGTTGGAACTCGATAAGGTAGATGCCTCGGTCGGTGCTGTACTGGCTTCCGAGGTCGATGACTCTAAAAAGTTGAGAGTTGAAGCCATGCTCTGTTTCGATGGCGTTCGAGTAACACCCATGCAAGGGCTTGACCCGGGAGTCGGAATACCAGGGCTTTGAGCAACGGATTTGACAGAGCTGTGAGAACTCGAGCCAGCCCAGAGTCTACCTAGGAATCGGGAAGCAATAGCTTGAAGCTGAGGCAGTGACACACTTTGTGCAGCGCCTTGGGCTTCCTGGTATTTCACCTCGAGAGCGTGCAAGCTTTCGTGAGTGACCAGGGAGGTGAGTGACACAAAGTCCGTAACAAGATCATCAGCATTGCAGGCATACCTAGAGGGCGGTTTTAGCAAAGATCACGAGTGTCTCAAGCATTACGGAGTACTTACGGATCCCATAGGCTTCTTGATAGCAACAGTTGCATGGCGTCTTCGAATTCCGTGCAGGCCATAATTCTGTGCTGATTCCGCTGCATAAGAGACAAGGCAACACGCATCAACGTCTCGCAGGCTCCTTCAAGCAAAAGAACATCATATATACGCAGAAGCATGGGAAGGGGACAGGTAACAGCAAAGAACGACAAGAACCATTGTGATACATAGACTGGCTCAATTTTGAGTGAATCAAGGTGAGCATATAGCTCTGGTGCGTGATGTGAGAGTAATGACTGGAATTGGTAGATACGGAGGTGGAGGCCAGATAAAGTCGGCAGGAAACAAGATCGCAAGTCATAATGGTCCATCAGTCTGCATCGGGAATGCGTCAGTAGGTATATTGCCAAGCAAAGGGAAGCATTGACGGAAGACGGACCTAACAAGGACACAGAAAGCCTCGGCTTCACTCATATGCATTAGCAAGGGGCCAACGACAAAGCCTAGGCCCTGGCAATACCCGATCTTGCTATCATAAAGACTGAAGCACTTGAGGACCCTTCCTAACATCTGCTGGCCTTCTCCGAGCGGATCTCGAAACATCTCTACGTTGGGGAAGCTTCGTCCAATATCCTTGCCGATAAGACCCTCGTAGGGACTTGTCTCACCACACAGTTTTTCGTACTCGTCGTGGAGGTGAGAATCTCGAGCTCCAGCAATGCTCGGCCACACGACCCCTCGAAGCGGAGGCGGGACACCTCCTCGGATTTTATGGGATGTAAGAGTGGGGAGCCGCTGGGCGGTACGAGGATAGTCGGCAACAAGAGCAGCCCAGAACTCAAGCTCGGTCATCTGGGGAGCAGGCAGTTGGGAATACCGGAGCGAAGATCTAGGGTCATTGACGAGATCTTTGAGTTTTTGGATGGATGGCGGCCTCGAGTTGCGGACGGATGCCTTTTTTGCCGAAGCAGACTTTGGGTCTGTTGCTAAAGCGTTGTTTTCCTGTTCTAATCGTGCTAGGAGCAACGTTGTCGACTGTTCGGCTTCCCGGTCAGCAAGGCAATCATTACAGTCTTCAATGGCTTCTTCAAAGCAGTCTTGGGGTGCCTTCATATTTCATTTCGCTGTTAATGAGGTCGAAAGACTCACCACATCGTCTCCCGATGCCTTTGACTTGTTGACTTCGCTCTCCTCCAAGCCGGCCCAGTCAACACTTCGACCATCATCCATGTCGGATTTACTGCTCCCACCGATGCTTTCAGCCTTGCTAGATGCGATTGACGGAGCCCTGGAGGGAGCCCTGGAAGGTGTCTCTTCGGCCTGTAGTTCTGAAGCAGTCTCGAGCTCTTCAGCATCCTCTTCTCCGTCATGCTGCGTTTCATCTGGACTGTCTAGCCCAAGGCCAACAGGAACGGCGGTTTCTGGACAGTATACTGCATCTGGCAACATGGGCCCTTCTCCCGAGATCCCAGAGCCCCTCTGTATATCTGAAAGTGGCACGGTTACCATCGAATCGGTTGGTAAAGGGTTGCGTTCTTCGTCGTGTTGAGGCACTGGTGGGGGATCAGGGGAAGTTGTTGCAGGGGAAACTTCCATCTCTATTGATCCCTGGGTTGTTTCTGGCTTATCCACTGCCATTCTCTACCCTTTGTAGTTCTTCTTATGACGCTCGGCAGCTGTGAGAGAACGAAAGTGCAACGGTCGAGCTAGGAGCTGTGTATCTATACAGAAGCCGATGCGTTAAGCAGGTAGCTGTGCTGCCATGGGGGCTACCTGACGCGTAGCCAGTGAACGAGAGGATGCCAGCCGTGACCAGCGGCAGCTTCAACTCGACAAAATCAATGTAAATGAGCGTTGGAAGCGAGTGTGAAACGAGATATCATGTCATCCCATCGTCTCTCCGTCTTGTGTCTTTCGTCTACTTCGTCGATGCTTTTTTTATGTCGATAAGGGGCATGCTGACTAAGACACGCCACAGTCACGTGGAACTCAGGGGGCGAAAGACCCGTGGAAGAAGGTGAAGCAACAAGAAACAAAACACCGGGAAAGCGATGCATAAACTGATGATGGTAGATGGACAGAGTAATCCGTAGATAAGTAGAAAGAGAAGAAGTAGCAGGAGAGGAGGAGCTTGGGGATGCGACGCAAATTGTGGTGGTGTTGGCGGGAGAAATACGGGCAAGCGGCCGTGACAAGCAGATCTGTTCAAGGGGGGCCCCCTGCTCCTGATAGTAACGACATAGCAAGTTAGAGAGTGATGGGAGGGCGATGAGCACCATACGAGAGGATGCACCTTATACTAGTGAAGCCGTTCTCGTATGTACCGTACCCTGGGCTGGTTCGTGTGGGCTCTCTAAGCGCGGAGACGCTCGTCAGACGGCTGATGATCTGGTGTCTTCCCGTAACTCATTTGTTAACTGGCTGACTTGGTAACGAGTTCGTTAGTTACTTGATAGCCTCGGGCTAATCTCAAACTCGAGCTGGTCCATCTGACTGATTCCTGCACCTCGAGTGTCTGGTCTGCAGTAGTTAACTAACTAGTTAGGCTAGTTAACCGGGTCTGGCGTCGTTTAAGTGAGATTGCAACATTGCAGATACCCCGAAAACAACGGTCATATTGCCGAAGTGCCGGTCAGATAGTTAACTATCACGAATACCACGGAGCGCTCCGTAGTGAAATCCCGCTCGTGAAGGGGAGAAAGGATACCCATCTAAGGCCATTAACTGGCCCATCCGCTTTGACAGTACTCCCCAGTGGTGGCCGACATAATGGTGGGTTTGCGGGCGCTATCTCGGACCAGCAGGCGGTGGCTGAGCTATTCTAAAAGGAGGCAGCCATGGTCAAGCCAGAGACGCCCGTTCTCTGTCTCACGGCCCAGCCAAATCATGGACCTCAGTTGCTTTTCGCCTGAGCAGCTGATGGTGCGTGAGTCGATCAACAAGATCTGCTCTGCTTTCCCAGATGTAAATATGGAACCACTCCCTGGCACCTAACTACCCGGCTTGCCGCATGTTAACGAGATGTTGATTGACAGGAATACTGGGCTGAGCGCGATCGGACGGAGGAATATCCGCACGAGCTCCATGCTGCCCTGTCGAAAGATGGCTGGATAGGCATTGCCTTGCCAGAGCACCTGGGTGGTGCCGGCCTGGGCATATCTGAGGCCACTATGATGCTGCAGACTATTGCCCAGTAAGGATGCATCCTCCTATGTCCTCAAATGTTTTCGCCAAAGGAAAGCAGCTGCTGATAGATGTGTTTATAGGAGCGGAGCTGGCCTCGCCGGTGCCCAATCGATCCATGCAAATGTTTATGCAACTCAGGTGTGTTGAAGCTGTTGTTAGAAAAATTAATCGGAACTGCATTTCTGATATTGACCCTCCGTATAACTAGCCGGTTGCAAAGTTCGCCTCGGAAGAACAGAAGAAGAGGATGCTGCCGCCGCTGATTGCTGGGGAGTGGAGGACCTGTTTCGGAGTGTATGTTCAAAATTTCTGTCATGGTGGGATAACCAATATGCTAATTAAGGCGTAGAACCGAACCGAACACAGGTCTGGAAACCTTGAAGCTTCGGACAGTTGCTGTAAAAGATGGGGACTCGTACCGGGTCTCCGGCCAGAAAATGCAAGCCCCCTGATGGCAAGTGTCTAGTCAGAAGACAGTAGCTAACTAGCGAGCACAGCTGGATCTCGTCCGCCCAAGTAGCCCAGAAGATGATTCTCCTAGCTCGAACCACGCCGGTTGAAGAAGTGAAGAAACCGTCGGAGGGCCTCTCGCTCTTCTTCATCGACTTTGACAGGGCCGCCCCTGGTCTAGACCTACGGAAGATCAATAAAATGGGGGGCCGAAGTGTGGATGCCAACGAAGTCTTCTTCGACGAGTACAGAATACCGGCAGATAGTTTGATCGGAAACGAAGGTGAAGGATTCAAGACAGTGAGTATCTATATACCCCTCCCTTTAGACTGTGATGGACCAGGCCTCGCTTTTTTGACACCCTTTAACTAGGTCCTTCATGGGATGAATGCCGAGAGATGTTTGCTTGCCGGGGAAGCACTCGGCCTGGGATACGTTGCCCTGGAGAAAGCGGCCAAATATGCCAAAGAGCGAGTTGTCTTTGGGCGTCCCATCGGCCAGAACCAGGCCATTGCCCACCCCCTCGCTGCGGCATATATGAGCCTCGAGGCGGCAAAGCTGGCAACGTACCATGCCACCAAGCTCTACGATGAGAGCAGAAACGATTCATCCATCACACAACAGTCTGTCGGCGTAGCATGCAACTCAGCCAAGTATCTCGCAGCCGAAGCCGCCTTTGCCGCCTGCGAGCGAGCAGTAAGTCACCTCCGGTATAGCATGACACGCATTCAAACATGGAAAACCCAACTGATCAATCCAATACTATTCACAGGTCCTCACTCTTGGGGGAATGGGCTATGCCCAGGAATATCATGTCGAGCGGTACCTGCGAGAGTGTTTCGTCCCCCGAATCGCGCCCATCAGCCGGGTAAGTGTCTCCCTCGCTGCATAGTATTAGTTATACGATATGTGAAGCTGAGTATCCTACTCGTGAACAGGAGATGATCATGAACTTCATCAGTGAAAAGGCTCTTGGTCTCCCTCGAAGCTATTAAAGTAGAAGCTTTCCATGTAGTTAACTAGCAGGTTGTAGATCTCTCTCAGGGGGTCCATCGTATCCTCGGCCCGGGGTGGCCAGAACCCATGTATACATATGTATGTACTCCGTAGTTAGCTAGCTGGTTACGAGAATGACCTCACATCCAGTAATCTTGGAAGCTGTCAAGTAGTTAGTTAGCTGGTTAAATCGTTGACTAGTTTGCTTGATAGGCAAGTTACTCCGTAGTTATAATATAGTTATCCATGACAGCCTGTGTCGGTGTCTCGCCGCAGCGATTCCATCCCCGCCACGGCTTTATCCGTCCTGTTTGGTGCCCAACTGCCTTGCCCAGTGACGTTATTTCATATCTAACCGGGTTATCGCCTGAGAATCCCTGCTTTGCGAGTCGGCTTGCTGGGATCTAATTCTCTTGACTTTGGTGGTGAGTTACTTGGTGAATCCAGTTCAACCTCGCTGCACACGACCAGCCTGTCAGGCAGCAACAGAACAAGCAGAAGACGAAGCTGGGGAGGCAAACAAAGTATTAGATCAAGGCCAGACCCCCCGATAACCAATAGCCATTGTCATAACCGGCGTCGTAGTGAGTCCTGAGTACGTACTTTAAAAAAAAAGGCCAAAAATAGTATTACATCACATGCTCCGAAACATAGGTCGACCTCTGGGATGTTTTTTTTTTTTCTTTTGCTTTTCTTTTCTACTGCTTCACTTCTTCTAACTGACGACGACCAACAACATACACACAAGAAACAGCAGACACAGACAACCAACTACCGGATCATCGCTTCTTGCACCGAGAACTGTTGCTGACCTCTGGCTATTGAAGCTGTCTTTTGCTAAACTCCTGGCTGGTGATTTACACAGCTTGACGAAGGGGTCGCAGGCCTACGCAATCTATACAAAATGGCCACCACCAACGGGGCTCACCACCCACATTCGAACGGTAACCAGACCACCCTCCCCCCTCTTAACTATCTCACCTCGTTTCTTTTCACAGATAGATGTGGTGTCTCAGCCTATGTGTCTCAGTGGATTGCTTGAACGGCATCGCCTTGGGCGTCATAGTCGAGCTGTGGCGAAATGAGTAAGGTAAGGCTTCCAAAAGCCCTCCTCCCAGGCAGCTTGGAATTTCACTGACTTCAGAGCTTTTTTTCTGTTCTCTAGTTTACTGTTTCCCGCCCTTGATCACTATCCCTAGATGAAGGACACCGGATTCTCATACGCGGATGCTAGGACTGTACTTGTTTTGATCCGTGATGAAGCAAAGTCTGACATCTGGTATGGCTACCCCTGTGTTGTACGAAGGCAAACGCCCAATGGAACCCCCCTGCTGACGGTTATATGATTATCACTAGATATCGAATACAGGAGCGACTAAGCCTACTTCCAATGGCACCCCTTCCTCCCCTTCTCCCCTTCCACAGACATCCCAGCCTTTGACTCGTACGTTCCAGCTATAAACGACTCCTTGCCCCTTTACACGGCTACAGCACTAAACACCTTCCTCCACTACAGATTATCACTCAAAATTATACAGCCTCTTGAGCGTGAGCATCCCCCGATTTCCGATGGAACATAAGCGTGCAACAATTGCCATTAGATTCAGTTATTGATATTCGACAAATATTATAGTGGGAACGGCCAAGTGCAACAGCTAGCTCCTTTGCTACCGTTGTCCTTTTTATAGTTGCAAGCAGATATCTGCCTCTTATTAGATGGACATTGAAATTCCTCTATCTCGCTCTAGGAGGTATGCTCGAGTTCCCCTGGATGTCCCATGAATGCAGTACATCTGATGATATACTAAACCTGGGTTGCTCACGATAGTGACTGCTTCGGCTGAGATTGGTGGCCATTTTCTCTTCTCCCGTGGGCTAACCAGCTCCTCGCGTCCTCGGAAGTACTACACCATTCCTAAGGATACCATGGACAGCTTCTTGGAGGACCTTGAGAACTTGGTCGAATTCTTCCTTATCGAATTCCAGCGGATTCTCTTCGTTGAAAATCTCAGCTATACTGTTTCCGTATGTGTCTACACCCACACCCACCTATTTGAACTTGATTCAGTGGCGCTTCTAACATCCGCCCAGGCATTCGTTACTGCCTTGGTTTCATACTGGCTGGTAATGTTCCTACCCCTGTGGGGCTTGGCTTTGATTGCTACCTGCGTCGCCTACTTGGCCCCGTTGGTTTATATCACCAACAAGGAATTTATCGACAGCCAGCTTGGAAATGCACAGGAAATCGTGGCTAACCAAGCTTCCCATGTGAAAGAGATGGCTGAAACTCAAACCGCACAAGCCACCCACATTGTCAGGCAGTATGTCGGAGAGTATCGAGCTAAGGCCAACGGTTACATTGGATCCACCAATGGTGCCGTTTCAAACCTCACTGCACCTAAGGCTGAACCAGAGCCCACCCAGGAACCTTCCCAGAAACCAGCTCAGGCACCAGCTCAGAAGACCGTTGAAGAGATCGTTGAGGAAAATATTCACCAAACTTCTGCTCCTGAAGCTGCTCTCGAATCTCTCCCAGATATTCCAAAGACAGAGGAACTCCCTGATCTGCAGCAAGTCGCCCACGCAGATTTTCCTGAGGCCCCTACTGGCGAACTTTCTGGTGAAGTAAAGGAAGCCGACAAGGTACCCGAATTGGTCCAGATCTCCTAAGTCAAGATCTTTCCCTTCTTATGTTTCTCAACAGGCTGTGCCTTAGCGAAACGCCGTCTGTCGTGACAGATTTACCCTATCATGCTAGCCGCATCGGCCAGACTACTATAAAAAGTCCTTCCATTACCTTCTACCTTTTTACACCCTTGCTACTTGCGTTTGGACTGGCTAGTTACTCTACCTACCTATTGGACCGATCCCTGAGCAGCCAACTCTATCCATTACCCACTTTAATTTTCTCCTTGTCAAACAACTACCACTTCTGCTTCTGCTTCCCTAAGTGTTTAAGTATTTGTTTCCTTTTGCTCCATTCGTTTTTATTAGTTTTTCTTTGTTCTTCCATTACCAAAATTCCATTTCATATTGATTCTATCCCTCTACAAGTTGTCAAAACTGAACCTCTGCCTTTTCTTTTTTCTGTTTACTTTCTTGTACTAACTTATCTTCAATTTTCTCCTTCACCCAAATTATTAATGAGTATAGTTAGTTAAAAGCATGTTGATGAATGAATCAAAATTCTTCTAACTACCCCAAGAGCAACTTTACTTTTCTAGACTTCAGTAAATTATTCTATTTTGAAGGTGAACTTCATTAATAGTCGTCTACAAGAACCCATAGGCATAGTTACTCGGTATTACAGTAAGATGGAGTGGAAGAGGATAATCATTATGATAAAGTGAAGTGACAAAAATATGAACCAAATAGTTAGTTAGATAAAATGACGAGTCCAAATTATGGGCAAACAATGAATCTCATGGAAGAAAACACGCCCGACCTCCACCATTTAAAAGTTTCCAGCCAGATTTTCATGCATCTGAGGAGACAACTGGCCCCCTGTGAAGATAAATAGGAAATTAAATGAAATCAAGAAAGGGAAAAAAAAAAAAAAAATTCGAGTCAAGTCAGAACAAATCTCAACACCCATTGTGACCCCGGGGTTTGTGTTTTAATTCAATGCCATTCTTTCTATGCTGATGCACGCCTCTTCTTCCTTGCCGGATCTTCATCTAAGGCTGCAGTGTTGTTGCTCACTGCCTCCTGCATATGTAGTTTCATCAACATATACGCTGCCCTGGCGTCGTTTGTCAAGGGTAGAGGTGACTGCCTCCCTTCCGGCTTTGGTTCGGCTTCTGCCTCATGCTGTTCCCTCGTATTCTCCTTTTCCACCTCATCTCTTCCTGTCACAGACCCCTCTGGATTTGAGTGTCTAGTATGAACGACGCTTTCATTTGTGCCCTCGCGCGGTGTTTGGGTAAGAGGCAAACATAGGGGTGTTTTTTCGTCAGGCATTGTCGTATCTTCTTGGTCTGTTTCACCGTCGGCCTCGGATTCGAAGCTGCGGTCCACCTTAGACCATTGGGTAAGCGCTTTATTCCCAGGCTCATCTTCAGATGTCGATGCAGTAATGCTATCGTCGTCGTCGCTGCCGTCATCGCTGACATTCTCAACTTCATTGAAGGCTAGGTATGATCCATTGGGGCGAGTCGACAGTTTAGTGTTATTCATCCGAGAAAGTGACTCAATGATGTCCTTTGGAGACGGGAGAATGCTCTCATTTCCGTTATTCATGAGACGCCTGAAAGGCTGGGAGGTACGTGGCGTATTGGCAGGCGTCCATCCAGAATTTGGTAGGGTTGATGGAGAGTATGCTTGGTGGTCATAGTAGGATGCGCCCCTATGGGGATTAGGGCCTCTGTTATCAAAAATGGTGACATCCTCGTCGTCTGGAGAACTGTCGTGGGATCTAGATCGCAATCTTTTGACACTAACATGTTCTGCCCTAGGTTTCAGGGGTAAGTAGGAAATGTTAGAGCTCGGAAGACGATTTGAGGATGCCTTCTGGAGCTCAAGATTGCGCTGCTGATGTGCTGTAATGGTTGCAGCTCGAATAATAGCAGGATCAATGATCATACGTCCAAACATCTCATCGGTCGGCTTAATACACTCTGAAAGAAAACCGACCCCAAATAAAGGGGTTAAGGCATATCGAATCTTCCAGCAAAACGTGGCAGCCACTGCTTTGGCAGCCTCAAACGGCATCCAATACCCTTTTATCATTAGCGAGTCAAGTTTTTTCTTGGAACGGGGAATTGCCTTGTTACCTTGCGCTGCCAGGGCACCGCCAGTTATACTGTGGCAGATTTCTCTGAGACCGGGGTTGGCATTCAACATTTTTGCGGGTGCAGTCTAAGGGGAGAATTCTCAGCTCAGTAAGTGTAAACCTTGAGTAGTGATTCGATAGAAATCTCACCTTTGAATAGTTATTGCATCGGAATAGGGAGGTCGTCCGGACTAAACCAATGTTGTAATCCCACATTACAGTGTATACTTTATCATCACCAGGAATTTTGAATTCATATTGAAATACTATGCTCTGTTAGCTTCAAGGATGGGTAGAGCACAAATATACTGGAAACATTACCTTCAAAACTTTCCCTCCCGGTTTTTTCAAGGAAGGACTTTTTCTCACTGTTGTATGGTATATGTCTGGGGAATTCTGTGATATGGCCCATTGGGTGAATCTCAAACAATTTGTGCGCTTCAGCCAGCTTTTCGTCCTGCCATTCACAAGGAGGATACTTGAGGGGCCCCCGTACCCTTCCTCTAGTAAAAACGGCTGCATCCTTTGAGACCTTTTGTTTCTTTGCGGGGGGAGAGGACTGGCTCCCTCTTTCGTTCCCTGGAGAAGAACCGGGAGCTAGCACTGTTTGGTTCTTTTTGGTAGAGTCCGGCTCTGGATTGAGCAGAGAGGCGATGGATGTCATCGCGAATGAGAAATTTCTCCGATGTCGATCTTCCAGAATATAACCCCTATCGTCGAATGGGTCGTTGTCTGAGATCGATATTAATTTGACCGTGGATTTGTACAAGGCGGAAGAGTTAAGAAAGTGTCACAAAAGATGGCGCAGTTTCGATAAAAATATAGTTGACAAACAAGGAAAAGGTAGAGCCACGGGATATAGTCTCCTAAGATCAAGCCTCAGTAGTCAGGAATAGCTGATAATGAGAGAGAAAGGCTTGAGACAGAGCTTGAATGATAAAGAAAGTGTCCAGAAGTTGAAAGAGGGGCCTGTTCTACAGGAGTAGTGAAGGGAGGCATAGGCCAGATGCAGGACATTGCATCTAGCGGGAAAAGGGCATCGCGGTTATTGACAGGCAGAAGGGGAGATAATAATGCTAGATGAGGAGACACTCAATACTCCCAGTAAAAAGATACGTTCCCAGAATTGATATTTGTTTCTCCGGAGGTCTCTAAGCTAGTGGCCTTGTAAGAAAGGTCAACTTGCTTTAGGACAGCGAAGTACATTGGGTACTCTGGAAACTTATGGGCCTGATGTAACTGTTTGTTTGTACCGTGCAAGGGACCACCAGCACTTGATACCAATCATCGAGGCTACCTACCACAGTTGGGCAAGCGGTGAAGGGAAATGGGAGAGATGGGAAGCTGTGGAGTTTAGTTAGTGCAGGTCTCACTAAGAAAGACGCAGAATAATGTTCGGCTTTGGTCAATGCCATGAAAGCATCAACAATCATTTTGCAAGATGGGGCATTTTCTATCAGCTAGATGGCTCTGATAGATACACCCTTGGAAATATTTTTGCAAGTACCTCTGTTCCGATCCCGATATCTGGGAACCTGCGACATTGTTCCGATGGTATTTTTTCTTCTCCCCTTTGATGTATCGGAAGGGGTGTCTATGCCTAGCATTGTGCGCAAACTAGGCCTTTAAACTAGGGCCCCGTAAGTGTGAGAATGTCAGGGTATATTCTGCTCAGGATATAGAAATATCCCAACCCTCTCTAAGAGGGCAACGGATGGGTGTACTCCATCGAGGAGAGGCACGTTTCAGTCAACGTATGCAGATACCCGAAAATTGCCAGTTGGGCAACACAGGTTCCTTAGGTATTTGAAAAGAGGGCATTTATCTAGTAGTTGTCTCCTATAACGCACTTACATTTGGATCCAAAGCGTTTTTTGCCTTTGTCCCTGGTCCATTAATCCACTAAGGGCGAAGCTTTTTATCCCAAAGACACTGTGTTCCCCCAATGCTGAAGACTTCTGGTGCCATCCACGTATGACAAAATGAAGAAAGAGCTATCATTTAGGGAACCAACCACTTAAATGAATGATTTATATTTTTCAACTGATGTGGTGATAAGGTAAAAGCGTATTCTGCTCTCCTTGTTCCATTGTTGGGGTCGCGTCCGATCCCGCTATGGTCCCCTATTGAACCGGTCACGCATAGAGGATACTGCCATAAAAATTAGAGCCCTTTAAAAAACTGCCAAAACTGGGCCAGAAGGGGGTGAATATGCCAGGAGCCTGAATGTATGGCAAGCTTTGAAGGTTGCTATACTTGATCTAGCCAAGAGCCAGAAAGAAAAGAAAGGCGGTTGCCTGATCCGTGGGCGTGTTGCGGGAAGCTGCATGGCTTGAAAGCTCGTGTGACGGATAGATGCTTGTCTGCCCCCACAGTTTCGACTCAACAAGGCCTGAAATGGACACCTAGCGAAGGAGGTTGAAAATGGCAAACATGGGCAGACCTGGTTAAAGGATCAAGCAAAATACAGGGTATCAATAGCGTTGGGTTAGGCCGCCACAAATATAGCTTGAAGCCTTATACCAAGCGGGAGAGCTTGAGATGGTGGCACGTAAACCTTTCGGCCAGCTGACGACGGTTTAGCAAATCCCACATCCCCAGGACATTCCCCGGCAACTGTACAACTCCACAAACACTCGACAGAATCTCCAGTTCTCCTGTATCTGACGTTAATATTAAGTTAATTATATGGCATATATGCGAGAACCTGCAAGACTTTTGATGATGTTTTCCGGTGCATCAAGCATATCAGAAAGAACTCACGCTCCATACGTAAAATACTTCGGAATTAGTTATACTTCTCCCGGCTCTGCTATATCAAGGAGCAAAGTAGATTATCATCCCACGGGCCCTGAATATGAAACAGAATATATGTAAAACTGAGCATAATGATAGGACA